ATTTTTAAGGAAGGTGCTAATATAACTGAGGTTTTAGCAAAGTCTAAAAATACCAAATTAACCTGTTATTTTGATATTTGTAAAGATAATCAGAAAAATTCAAAGATTATGAATCTAAAATATATAGATTTTTCTAAGGTCTTTAAATGGGAAGGTGGAAACTGGATTACCCGAAGACTAGGTGGTGAAAAAGTAATATCAAGATTATATACATGCAGCCCAAATAATAGAGAGAGATTTTGTTTGAGAATTTTATTAACTCAAATACCCGGTGCTATCTCTTTTGAAAGTTTACGTACAATTAATGGTCAAATTTATGAAAAATTTGAAGATGTTATACGTGCACTTGGCTTTTTAGATGAAGAAAATAATGAATTTGATAAATGTTTAAAAAGAGGCTGCATTATATAGAATGCTATCTCGGTTAAGACAATTATTTGCCTCTATATTATTATTTTGTATTCCAACAGAGTTGAAATCACAAGATTTATTTGATAATAATTATCAATCATTAATTGAAGATTATTGTAGAGTTATAAGAAAAGATCCTACAGATTTAACTTCTAAACAAGTTAAATTATTTAAAGCAAAGGCTTTAATAGATATTGAAAAATATCTAATTTATTTTGGAAAAAACTTGGCTGATTTTAATTCCGATAAACTTGATTATAATTTAGCAAGTTTAACTTCTGAAGAAATTAATATACAATATCAACTTTTTAATGATGAACAATATTTAGATAATGAATTAGATAAAATTTTAACAAAAGTAAATTTGTTAAATGATGAGCAAAGATATATCTATGAAAGGGTCTTTCAAGCTGTTGGAAAAGAAATTGATAAAAAATTATTTTTTGTTGATAGTTCTGGAGGTTGTGGAAAAACTTTTTTGTTTAATTTAATTTTAGCAATAGTAAGAAGAGATTTCAGTATTGCTCTTGCAGTTGCTTCATCTGGAATTGCTGCTTTATTATTAGTTAGAGGAACAACCGCTCATTCAAAATTCAAGATTTTTTTAAATTTAACTGAAGATGATGAATTCCATATTAGCGCTCAATCTGATTTGGCTCAATTAATCAGAGATGCTAAGTTAATTATTTAGGATGAAGCTCCAATGACAAACAAAATAGCTTTTGAAAAACTTAACAAAGCTATTCAGGACATTACAAATAACAAAA